GCATTGAGACTGCTGCTCTAGGTACTGGTGAGGCTGCTGCTCTAGGTGCTATTGAGGCTGTTGCTCTAGATGCCAGTGCGTCTGCTTCCTCAGGTGCTGGTGAGTCTGCTCTCTCAGGTACCGCGTCGGCTTCGACCTCCCACGCCTTCACCCTTGACTCGGGGGCTTCCCGCTCCTTCTTTCGAGACCAAACCACACTCACGCCGCTTGGTCGGCCAGTTGCAGTCTCTCTGGCAGACCCCTCTGGGGGTCCTATTCTTGCTCACTTCTCCCTTGTCCTCCCGTGTCCGGCGGCCCCCTCTGGCACCCTGTCTGGTCTTTACCTCCCCTCATTCTCTACGAACCTGGTGAGTGGTGCTGACCTACAGGATGCGGGGGCTCACCACTTCACTCCTGCGAGTCAGCGGGTGACCCACTGCACGGACGCTCGCACAGGCCGGCACCTGGCCACGTTTACACGTCGGCCAGGGTCGAGCCTGTACACACTGACCACTGAGTCTCCTCCTGTCACTGCGTCTGGTCAGGTAGCTGCGTCGGGTCAGGTGTTTGCTGCAGCGTCCAGGTCTGGTCCTGAGTCTGCCCCTTGCTCGTGTCGCCTCCTATCTCACGAGACTCTCCTCTGGCACCACCGTCTTAGTCACCCCTCCCTGCTTCGTCTCCGAAGAATGGCCTCCCGTGTCCTTGTCTCTGGTCTTCCCCGGTCCCTCCCTCCCCTTCCCCCAGGGCCTGCCCCTGCCTGCGTCCCCTGCGTCGAGGGGCGGCAGCGTGCTGCCCCTCACTCCTCCCAGTTTCCTCCGACAGAGGCCCCGCTGCAGACGCTTCACATGGACGTGTGGGGCCCAGCCCGCGTCCGTGGACAGGGTCACGAGCGCTACTTCGTGCTGGTGGTTGACGACTACTCGCGTTACACCACAGTATTCCCCTTGTGCAGCGAGGGTGATGTCACTGAGGTGTTGATCCACTAGATCCGCGCAGCTCGTCTCCAGCTCGGGCAAAGCTTCGGCTCGGACTTTCCTGTTCTGCGTCTGCACTCTGACAGAGGCGGAGAGTTCTCCTCTGGCCTTCTGCGAGCCTACTGTCGTGCACGAGGCATCCGGTAGACCTTCACGCTTCCGGACTCTCCACAGCAAAATGGGATTGCTGAGCACCGCATTGGCATGGTCATGGACGTCGCCCGTACGTCCATGATGCATGCGGCTGCCCCCCATTTTCTGTGGCCGTTTGCGGTTCGGTACGCGGTGCATCAGATCAACCTTCAGCCCAGGGTCTCCATGCCGGAGACCTCCCCAGCTTTGCTGTGGACGGGGAAGGTTGGCGATGCGTCTGCGTTCCGTGTCTGCACGCGACTTGTCTACGGACAAGCTGTCCCCTCATGCTACTCCTTGCGTCTTCCTTGGCTTCCCCCCTGACGCGCCAGGGTGGCAGTTCTACCACCCCGCCTCTCGCCGTGTTCTGTCCTCCCAGGACGTCACGTTTGACGAGTCGGTCCCCTACTACCGCCTCTTCCCCTACCGCACTCCGTCCCTCCTCCCGCCACCGCTCTTTCTTGTGCCAGATCCCCCCCCAGTAGACCCCCTCCCCCCTCAGGGTCCTGCCCCTTTAGGTGTGTCCCAGGTAGACGCAGTCGAGCCTGTCGAGGTTGCTGGTGACTTTGGTGCTGCTGAGGGTGCTGAGCCTAGGGGTGCTGACTCTGGGGGTGCTGAGCGTGTGGGTGCTACGCCTGGGGGTGCTGAGCCTGAGGGTGCTACTAGTGGGGGTGCTGAGCCTAGGGGTGCTGAGCCTGGGGGTGCTACGCCTGGGGGTGCTGAGCCTGGGGGTGCTACGACTGGGGGTGCTGAGTCTGGGGGTGCTACGCCTGGAGGTGCTGAGCCTGGGGGTGCGGAGCCTGAGGGAGCTGGGCCTGCTCGTGTTGCGTCTGGCGGTACTGCTTCGTTCCGCTCCTTCAGCAGGTTCTTGTTCTTCCACCTTCTACTGGTCCTCCTCCTCCCTTAGAGTCCACAGCCTGTCCCGTCAAAGATACAGTTACAGCCGGCCTCCCCACTGCCTGCTCCTTCTCCTTACACTGGTCCTACTGGAGGTCTTTCTGAGCGTCGTGAGTCTGCGTCTCGCCCTGCGTCGCCTGTCCGTCCTGCTCGCACTAGTGGTCGTGGTTCGCGTTAGCGTCCTCCTCCTGTCTCTGGCACGCACCGGATGTCTCTGCGTCCGTCCACTGCTCCTCTGCGTGCCCCTTTGCCTTCTCCTCCTGAGTCCTCTCTTCCTGCTCTTGCCGACTCGGAGTCGGACTCTCTTCGTGCTGCCAGTCCTACTGTCACGCGTCTCCTTGCTACTGTCGTCACTGACCCTTCCTTTGAGTCCACTGCTGTGTCTGCCCTAGTTGCTGAGCTCGTCGGCTTTGCTGCTCGCTGTCGTCTAGACTACGCTGCTAGTCTTGTCGCTGAGTCTGAGTCTGTCTGTCCTCCGTCTGTCGGGGTTGAGTGTGCCCTTGGCACGGACGTCCTTGAGGACAGGTAGGAGGAGTTCAAGTGTTTGGCTGCTGCTTCACCTCATCTCGTGTCCGTACTACTTACCCCTGAGGGAGACCCGGATGCACTTGACATCCCGACTCCGCGCTCTTACGCGGAGGCGATAGAGGGTCCCTACTCCTCTCATTGGCAGGCAGCTATGGACACAGAGATGGCTTCCTGGAAGTCCATAGGCACCTACGTTGACGAGGTTCCCCCGCCTGGGGCGAACATTGTCAGTGGCATGTGGATTTTCAGGGTGAAGCGGCCGCCGGGTTTTCGCCTGTCTTCAAGGCGCGTTACGTGGCTCGTGGCTTCAGTCAGCGGCAGGGAATTGACTACTTTCAGACCTTCTCTCCCACCCCAAAGATGACCACTCTTCGGGTACTGCTGCACATAGCTGCTCACCGTGACTACGAGCTGCACTCTCTTGACTTCAGCACTGCTATCTTGCAGGGCAGCCTGCACGAGGAGATCTGGCTGCGTCGCCCACCTGGCTTCACTGTGTCTTTTCCTCCTGGCACCCAGTGGAGCCTCCAGCGGCCAGTCTACGGTCTCCGCCAGGCACCGCGTGAGTGGCACGACACACTGAGGACTACACTTGCGGCTCTTGGGTTTGCTCCCTCTACTGCCGACCCGTCGCTGTTTCTGCGCACCGACACTTCTTTGCCGCCGTTCTACATCCTCGTGTACATCAACGACTTGGTCTTTGCCACAGCTGACACTGCTGGACTCGCCCACGCAAAGTCCAAGCTGCAGAAGAGACACACGTGCACAGACCTGGGTGAACTGCGCAGCTACCTTGGCTTGCAGATCATCCGGGACAGAGCACGCCGCACCATTACCCTCACTCAGTCACACATGGTGCAGCAGGTCCTTCCGCGCTTCGGCTTCACGTACTCCTCGCCTCAGGCCACTCCTCTGCCTACTCGCCACTCGCTCTCAGCTCTGCCTTCGGATGAGTCCGTAGAGCCGAGTGGCCCGTACCCAGAGCTTGTTGGCTGCCTCATGTACCTGATGACCTTCACACGACCTGACCTTGCATACCCTCTTAGCATCTTGGTAGGCTATATTGCTCGTGGGAGACACAGACCAGAGCACATGGCTGCAGTGAAGAGGGTGTTGCGCTACTTGTGCAGTACGTCGAGCATGGGGCTTGTGCTTGGAGGGCAGAGTCCAGTGGTCCTCACTGGGCACGCAGACGCTTCTTGGGCTGACGACCAGGCTACGCAGCGGTCGTCACAGGGTTACACCTTCAGCCTTGGTTCCGGCTCTGTTTCGTGGCGGGCTACCCGCTCGTCTTCTGTTCTCGGCTCCAGTTGTGAGGCTGAGATCTACGCAGGAGCCATGGCTGCACAGGAGCTTCGCTGGCTCACCTACCTGCTGACTGATCTCGGAGAGCCGCCTCGTTCTCCTCCAGTGCTGTACGTAGACAACAAGGCCATGCTGGCCTTGTGTCGGGATCAGAGATTGGAGCACAGAACGAAGCACATTGCTCTTCGCTACTTCCTTGCTCGTGAGCTACAGCAGCGTGGTCAGCTGCGCCTTGCGTACGTGGCCTCTGAGGCCAACAATGCTGATATCTTCACCAAGGCGCTTGCGCCTTGTGATCATCAGCGCTTCTGTACTCAGCTGGGTCTTGTGCCTGCCTTGCCTCACTTGCTCACCACTTGACCTTGTTTGTACTGTTACATATATTTATACACCTGCTCTTGCTTGTCTAGCCTTATATATATATATATATGTGTGTGTGTGTGTAATCCTGCATGTGAACTGGCCTTGTGGCCTTGAACTTGTGCTCGAAATGTGTGGTGACTTTGTGATCCACCCTGAGCTTGCTTTGCTTTGCTTGACTGGTCTTGTGACCCCTTGTTCTCCCCTACTTTGCCTATGGGGGTGTGTCAGATTTATATGACATATGAGGTACGACTTTTTAGGGTTTGCACTTGTACCCAACTTTCCCTTAGTCAATTCATTTCTCGTTCATTTTCTCATGGGTAACCCGTCTGGTACTCGAATTCGTCAATCCGTAACCTGGATTCGCGTTTTGGGTCCCAGTCTCGCACACGGTAATCGAAGTCCGTAACCAGATCTTCAACATCCCTCTCCTGCCTCGCTCACGGCAATCGAACCAGGGCTCCGATTTCCCTCTCATGTCTTGCTCACGGTAGTCGAGGTCCGTATCTGCAGTTCGCCTTCGTCGCAATGTCAGGCTCGCAGCGCACTTTCCATAAGCCAAATCACGGATCAAAAATTTGGAAGCATAAATTGGAACGCAAATTCTCTCGAAGCACATCCAACAAACTTGAGCTTGCTTTCTCATTTTCAGAGGGCAACCGAGCCCACTCCTCCAGCACCAGCTAGAACCACTGCATAGAGCAACTGAACTACTAGTACCGTGATATTACTACCACAACGACGGATACTTCTACCCACTGTCAGCGCGTGATATCTTTCACAGCGCCAGATCTTACTCCATCTTCACGTTGGATGGGAACCATGGCGTGTCCGCGGATCTTACCCATCGTCCTTCTCCTGTTTGTCGGCTCGTGCTCAGCCTACCTGGCGCCATCAACCCAGGCAGACCGCCATTCTCTGCTCATCCAACCCACTCCGAGGTCCGCAAATGGCCGCAACGCGAATGCTAGACCCGCTCCAGTGACTCCAAGGGCTGTACGCGCGGCGAATGATTCCGAGTCAAGTGAGTCTGGCGCGCATAAAAACGCATCAGCAGTTCCGTCTGAAGTGAATTCTGGTCCCGCGCTCCCTCCGCATGCTTCCCCTCATCATGTCGACATACTCGACTATGCTGGCGCGGCAGTCACGGATGCGGGGAACATGAGAAGAAACGAGAAGGAGGAGGAGGGGAAGGGAAGCACACCACCCATCACCCTCCTCCTCCTTCTCGTTTCTTCTCATGGTATCAGAGCAAGTTCCCTCGTGGGAACTGTTCCTAGAGCCCACCAAGTCAAGTGAGGGTGTGAGGGTGTGGGGGAGCCGGGGGAGTGGCACTGGGGTGGCGGGTGTGAGACCAAACAGCAGCCGTCCCTCCACCTCTCCTCTCTTCCCCCCTCTGCTACTCCTGCAGCAGTGTGGGGGGGAGGGGGAGGGGGAGGGTGAGGAGATGGAGGGGGTGACCAGCCAGAGCCAGCCCGCCTCCTCACTCTCCCTGCTGCCCCTCCTGTGGTTGGGGGGGAGAGGGTAAGGGGGTGGCAGGAATTTCTTGCTACCGTACCTGTTGTTGCTGTTTTATCAGTCTATGGTGTACCCCTGCAGGTTGTGTTTTGCACTTAGCTATTCCTGCATGCAGATACGAGGGGATGTCAGAGTTATATTCTTATACCTGCATGTAGTTCTAGCTGTAGTGTAGATATGAACTTTATAGGTGGTGCACCTCTTTCTTCACTTGTTTGCTATATGTACTCTCTTGCTATAGTGAACACTCACTCTCCTTCTCAACTTTCTCGACATTCTCCTCACCCTCGAACTCAACTTACTCAATCTCACTAGCCATGGCTCCTAAGCCTCGCTAGAAACTTCGACAGAACAATGGCCTGGGCACGGACGCGGCGGTCGCGGGCGTTGCGGGCAAGGGTGTTGCGGCCGGAAAGGGTGCGGCGGACAACGATGCAGCGGGCAAGGACGAGTCCAAGGTCGCACCAAAGAATGTGAAGAGCGCACCGAACAAGGTCACAGCCAAGGGTGCGGCGGGAACGGTCGCGCCGAACAAGGGCGTGGCGGACAACCATGGCGTAGCAGGCAAGGGTGCGGCTAACAACGGCGCGCCTAAGAAGGTTGCAGCCACGGGCGCGACGGGAATGGTCGCACGTAACAAGGGAGCGGCGGACAACCAGGGCGCAGCAGGCAAGGTTGCGGCTAACAACGGCGCACAGAAGGTCGCAGCCAAGGGCGCGGCGGGAACGCTCGCACCGAACAAAGGTGCGGCGGCGACGAGCAAGGCCGCGGAGAAGGAGGTCCCGGCGAACAAGGGCGCGGCACGCAAGGGAGCGGCCGGCAAGGTCGCGACGGACAAGGCCGCGGTGGGCAAGGGCGCAGCTGGAAAGTTCGTGCCGAGCGAGGCGAATAAGGGCGCGGCGACAGCGAGTCAAAGTGCCAAGAACCAGCCTGCTGCTGCTGCGATGATTGGAGCGGCGAACAACAAACCCGTGCGCCCTCACATGGCGACTGCCGAGGACGCGGCGATCCATCACGATGGTACTAGTGGCGCTAAGACGGCATCAGGCAACGCCCAACCGCCTCGCCCACATGCCGTCTGTCCTCACATGGCGTCGGTGCCTGCCGCGAGTCACGTTGCCGAGAATCAGCCTGCTGCTGCGACGATGGGAGCAAGCAACAAACCCGTCCGTCCTCACATGGCGACTGCCGAGGACGTGGCCATCCATGATGGCGCTAAGACGTCATCAGACAGTGCGGAACTTGCCCCTTCGGACGCCCAACCGCCGCGCCAACACGACGCGCGCCCTCACGTGGCGACGGCTGAGGACGTGGCGATCGTTCCCCAGGCGCGAGCGCCGGCGCCGGCGAGTCACTGCGGCGAGAATCAGCATAATGCGATTATGGGAGCAAGCAAGACGCACGTGCGTCCTCACATGGCGACGGCTAAGGACGTGGCGATCCACGGTGGCACTAAGACGGCATCAGGCAGCAATGCAGCAATCCCCCCGTCGAACGCCCAACCGCCTCGGCCACACGCCGTCCGTCCTCACGTGGCGCCGGTGCGGCCGCGAGCCCCATGGCCAGGAACCAGCCTGCTGCTGCGACGATGGGAGCAAGTACCAACAATCATCCTGGCGCCGGTGCCGGCAACTGCGAGTCACATCGCCAAGAATCAGCCTGCTGTTGCGACGATGGGAGCACCGAGCAACAAACCTGGCGTGCGTCCTCACATGGCGCCGGTGACGACGTTTCACGACGCCAAGAATCAGCCTGCTGCTACGACGATGGGAGCGCCGAGCAACAAACCCGTGCGTCATCGCATGGCGACTGCTGAAGAAGCGGCGATCGTTCCCCTGGCACCGGCGCTGGCGACTGCGACTGAGATGTATGCAGAGGCATGGAGGAATGTGGTGGCTGTCGATGAGAAGGATGATGAGAGGGACGGCAGCGATGACAACGGCTATGATGATGACAGCGAGAATGACGATGACACGGAGATTGACGATGACACTGACAACAATGAGAAGGATGATGAGAAGAACGATGAGAAGAACGGCAGCGGTAACAATGGCAATGAAAATGGCAAGGCCGACAGTGAGAAGAACGACGCAAAGGGCGATGAGAAGGACGATGAGAAGGACGATCATGGCACGGACGAGGACAATGGCAAGGGCAACAACAACTTGTTGAGCGACAACGATGGGAGAAATGACAAGGAAGATGGGAAGGACAATGACAACGATGCAGTCAGCTGGCATGGGGGGAAGAGCAGCAGCAACGGACAGCGAAGGGGCAGGGCTCAGGCCATGAACGGAGCATCATCTCGCGTGTCTCACCTCAACAACAACGGTGGCTGGGAGCTTGAGGACAATCAGCGCACTGGATTCCACAGGGCACAGCAGTTTCGCATGGCGACTAGGGAAGATGTGGCCATCCTTCGCAGGAGCGGGACTCACAGCACCGTCGAGAGAGCATCATCTCGCGTCTCTCGCCTTAACAACAACAACAACGGCTGGGAGCTTGAGGACAGTCAGCGCACTGGATTGCACCAGGCACAGCAGTTTCGCATGGCGAATAGGGAAGTTGTGGTCATTCACAGGAGCGGGATGCAAGGCGCTAACCGGGTTTTGAACCATCGGAGTGGGCTCAATGGGGCACAGCAGTTTCGCATGGCGACAAGCAGCGATGTGGCCATTCACAGGAGCAGGGCTCAAGGTGCTAACCGTGGTGTGAGCCATGGGAGTGGGCTCAACGGGGCACAGCAGTTTCGCATGGCAACTAGGGAAGATGTGGTCATTCACAGGAGCAGGGCTCAAGGCACGAACCGTGGTGTGAGCCATGGGAGTGGGCGCAACGGGGCACAGCAGTTTCACATGGCGACTAGCAGCGATGTGGCCATTCACAGGAGCGGGGCTCAAGGTGACTCTTGAGCCAACTCAAAAGTCACCTCATTCACAGGAGCAAGGCTCAAGGCACCTATCAGAGTGAGCAGCTAGGTTCTCTTGCATCTATGCAAGCTGGCGGTGGAGATTACAATGGTGACTATAACAGTGGTGATTCTGCAGGTGGTGACTATGGTAGGTGATGATTGGTGACTGCCACGGCGAAGGCGGCAGCGGAGGTGAGGTGACTGTGGTGATTGCAATGGGGATAATGGCAGCGGCGGCACTGGCGGGGATAACGGCGTTCAAAACGGCAGCGGTGGCGGCAGTGGCGGAGGAGGAGGAGGAGGAGGAGGAGGAGGAGGAGGAGGAGGAGGAGGAGGAGGAGGAGGAGGAGGAGGAGGAGGAGGAGGAGGAGGAGGAGGAGGAGGAGGAGGAGGAGGAGGAGGAGGAGGAGGAGGAGGAGGAGGAGGAGGAGGAGGAGGAGGAGGAGGAGGGGGAGGGACGATTGACATTGGCACGATTCTGGAAGTTCACACGCAGTGCTTGGGGTAGAAGGAGCACGAATAGTTTATACTGTACTTGTGTGTATGCCTGGGCTGAGTCAATTAATTGATCACTGTTTTGAAACATTCTGTCCTGCTTATCTTGCAAATGAAAAGCCGCGACAAACTGAATGAAGAGTCCAAGGAGCAGTAATATACAGGCACTGAAAATTGGGACGGATACTTAATTCTAATTGGAAGTTGGAAGTGTGTCTGTTTAACTTGGAATATATCTCTATAAATTGGCCTCTGTTTTGTGAGCTGTATGGCGCGGCACATCGCATTAATGTACGGTTAAGTGCGGTGAAATATCTACACGCTTCTGTGCATTCTTTCTCGCTGATATAGTGTTCAATTCTACATCTCAGTTTCTCCACGTCCGTTTCAGTCGCGGCGGCACCTATTCTAAGGCTAGAGGCTGCCGATTTCACGACTTCGCCAGGAGCACGTACCTTAGCGAGTAACTATTCTCGCGAGGAGTTACTTTCGCAAAACTAGTTCGTCGCAACGTAGTCGCAGTGCGGCTTGCTTCGAGTAGTGCCTCGAGAAGTCCCACTCGATTCGTTTCACCGAGTAGTGGTGCCTCGAGAAGCTAAGTTTCTCCGCCATGGATCGCGAATGGGGGAGCAAGCCCGGAAGCGGCGGCGCCGCGTCCGCGCAGAGCGAGGCGATCGACCGCCGAGAGCGGCTGCGACGGCTGGCGCTCGAAACCATCGACCTCGCGAAGGATCCGTACTTCATGCGGAACCACCTCGGAAGGTAAGGGTCCACTCCGTTTTAGAGTGGTGATGTGTGGTGATGTGGCCGCGAGCGGCTGCGACGGCTGGCTCTCGAAACCATTGACCTCGCGAAGGATCCCTATTTCATGCGGAACCATCTCGGAAGGTTCGTATCTATACCGTCTAGCTACGGAGCTTCATTATCGACTGGAGTATCGGCCGATCGTCCTTGATGGTTTTTTTTTACTTTTGAGTCGACTCAAAAGTCAACTCGTCCGACTTGAGGATCGGCCGATCGTTTTGAAACTATCGATCCGATCATGGGAGTTCCATTCCAGAACCTTTTCGTAAAGTGATCCGTATTTAGGATTTGAAAGGTTCATCTCGAGGCGCATCAATGTGTGTTGGACTTGTATTTCCCGCGAAAAGGTCTCGGAAGATTCGGCGTCAAGTCCGTTGCGTTGTGCCCCAATTAGGGAGCATGCGAGATTCCCGCGTTCCTTTCCTCCTCCTTCCCCCTCCCCCCTCCTTGGCGATGTAGAGTATTTTTGAGAATTTTAAAAAATACTCTACAAACCAAATAGGGAGGATGCGAGATTCCCGCGTTCCTTTCCTCCGCTTTCCTCCTCCCCCCTCCCCCCTCCCCCCTCCTCCTTCGTCCTCCTTCAATTGCCCCTTCTCTTTTGCCCCTCCACACCTGCACCTATAGTTACGAGTGCAAGCTATGTCTGACGCTTCACAACAACGAAGGCAACTATCTCGCGCACACGCACGCAGGGCAAGCGCCACCAGCAGAACCTGGCCAATCCTTCCCATCCCTTCCCCTGCCCATTGCCCCTACCCCACACAGCTACGAGTGCAAGCTCTGTCTGACGCTTCACAACAACGAAGGCAACTACCTCGCGCACACGCACGCAGGACAAGCGGCACCAGCAGAACGTGGCAACGCCTCAACTTCCCCTCCCTTCCCCCCCACTTCCCTGCCCTTGACACCCCGCCCCCATCATTAGTTACGAGTGCAAGCTATGTCTGACGCTCCACAACAACGAGGCAAACTACCTCGCGCACACGCAGGGCAAGCGGCACCAGCAGAATCTGGCCAAGCTTGTAACATCCCTTCCCTTGCCCTTTGTCCTTGCAACCCCCCACTTACAGCTACGAGTGCAAGCTGTGTCTGACGCTTCACAACAACGAGGGCAACTATCTCGCGCACACACAGGGCAAGCGGCACCAGCAGAATCTGGCCAAGCGAGCAGCCAAGGAGGCTCAGGAGGCACCGGCACTGCCCCAACCCGCTCGGCCCCGAGTGAACCCGAGAAAGACAGGTGAGAGCGGGAGAGAGCAGGAATTGAAGGTTGGAAGTGTGGGTTAGTCAGTCAGTGCGCACACGTAAGGCAAGCGGCACCAGCAGAATCTGGCGAAGCGCGCAGCCAAGGAGGCACAGGAGGCACCGGCGCTGCCCCAACCCGCTCGGCCCCGAGTGAACCCGAGAAAGACAGGTGAGAGCTGACGGAGGGAGTGGGTCAGTGGGTGAGTGAGTGTGTTCTTGCAAGCGGCACCAGCAGAACCTGGCCAAGCGTGCAGCCAAGGAGGCACAGGAGGCACCGGCGCTGCCCCAACCAGCACGGCCCCGAGTGAACCCAAGGAAGACAGGTGAGAGCGCTTGAAATGCAGGGGTTGGGTGAGTGGGAGAGCAAGGGATTGAGAGTTTGCAAGCGGCACCAGGAGAATCTGGCCAAGCGCGAAGCCAAGGAAGCACAGGAGGTACCGGCACTGCCCCAGCCAGCACGGCCCCGAGTAAACCCGCGCAAGACAGGGGAGGGTGGGGAAGGGTTGGGGGGGAAGGGGGAGTGAACCTGCCAAAGATAGGTGAAGTGGGGGGGGAGGAGTGAAACTAATTTTTGCATGAAATGGCTGTGTCATGTGCTTGCCTTTCAACCAATCTACCGTGCCATACCATGCCATACCATGCCATACCATCCATACCATGCCATACCATGCCATACCATGCCATACCATCCATACCATGCCATACCATGCCATACCATGCCATACCATGCCATACCATCCATACCATGCCATACCATGCCATACCATGCCATACCATGCCATACCATGCCATGCCATGCCATACCATGCCATGCCATGCCATACCATGCCATACCATCCATACCATGCCATACCATGCCATACCATACCATGCCATACCATGCCATACCATGCCATACCATCCATACCATGCCATACCATGCCATACCATGCCATACCATGCCATGCCATGCCATACCATGCCATACCATCCATACCATGCCATGGCATACATACGGTAAGACACGACACAATCCGCCATACCGTACCATACGCCATGCCCCATGGCCCCATGCCCCATGCCCCATGCCCCATGCCCCATGCCCCCCATGTCTCATGCTCCATGCGCCATGTCTTGCATTTGCAGTGAAGATCGGTCGACCCGGTTACCGTGTAACCAAGCAGTTCGACCCTGAGACACACCAACGCTCACTGCTCTTCCAGGTGTGTGGGTGTGGCCCCGGGGGGGGGGGGAAGGGAAGGAGAGGAGGGGGGGGTGGGGTGGGGTGTGAGGGGAGGGGGGTATGGGGTGGAGGTGGGTTTCGCCAGGTGAGCGTGTGTACAGGCGTGTGCGTGTGCATATGGGCATGCATGTGTGTGTAAGTCTGTGTGTGTGTATACCTCTTCCCCCTCTCTTCCCCCTCTCTTCCCAGGCCCCGTCCCCTTTTTCCCGACTTCCCGACTTCACACCCCTTTCTACACGTCTCTCCCCCTTTCCACTCTTCACGCCCGTCCCCCTCGCTGCCCTCTCCACTGCCCTCCCATGAGACACAGATCGAGTACCCAGAGATAGAGGACGGGGTGAAACCTCGCCACCGATTCATGTCTTCCTATGAGCAGGTGAGTGTGTGGGTTGTGGTGTGGTGGTGTGGTGTGCCGCCGTTGCCATGGTAACTAGGTGACTTTTGAGTCGACTCAAAAGCAGGTGAATGTGTGGGTTGTGGTGTGGTGGTGTGGTGTGGTGGTGTGGTGTGCCGCCGTTGTGATCTGTGGTGATGTGGTGTGTGGTGTTTTGATGTGCATGTTCTGATCTGCCTATGTGCCCTTGCGTCCCTTCCTTTCCCCCTTTTCCAGTTTCCCAGTAATCCTCATTTTCCTCCTTTTCTCCATGCCCCTCCCCCCTCCCCTCTCCCCCTTCATCCTCCCCATCCGCCGTCCCCCCCAGAAATTCCCCCTCATCCTCTTCCCCTCCAGTGAGTCGAGTCAAGAGACAAGAGCATTAAACACCATCCTCTCTCCTCTCTTTTTCCCCTCTCTCCATCCTCCCCAATCCTCCCTCAATCCCCACTTCATTGCACCGAGTTGAGCTGTGGGACAAGAACTTCCAGTACCTGTCGTTAGCGCCGCAGCCCCCCTGCTCTCCCCATTCTCTCCCCATTCTCCCCCCCTTCTCCCCCCCTTCTCCCCCCCTTCTCCCCCCCTTCTCCCCCCATCATCCCCCCACCCTCCCCACACGCCCCCCCTCCACCGAGTCGAGTCGCGGGACAAGAACCTCCAAAACCTGCTGTTTGTCCAGCACCTATTCTCTTCCCCTGTCTTTCCCCCACTGTCCCCCGATTCCCTCTATTCCCCCCTCTCCCCTCTACCTGCTGTTTGCACCAAACACCAACTCCCTTGTTCCTTCTTTGAGGCGCCTCAAAAACCTGCTGTTTGCACCAAACACCAACTCCCTTGTTCCTTCTTTGAGGCGCCTCAAAAACCTGCTGTTTGCACCAAACACCTACTCCCTTGTTCCTTCCCTTCTCCCTCCATTCTCCCCCCATCCTTCCTGCATCCTCCCCCCACCCATCCCCACCCATCCCTACTGCATTGCAGCGAGTTGAATCCTGGGACAAGAACTTTCAGTACCTGCTGTTTGCGGCAGCACACACAAACCCTCTCCATCATCCTCTCCTCTCCCCCCCTCCCCATCCGCCCCCCACCCATCCCCATCCAACCCCACCCAAATTCACCGCATTGCAGCGAGTTGAATCCTGGGACAAGAACTTTCAGTACCTGCTGTTTGCAGCAGAGCCCTACGAAATCATATCTTTTAAGGTACGCAATCGTCTCGTCCCTGTGAAGCAACCAGATCCTATACTAGAAGGAATAATTTCACCTCGAGACGAAACGAAACGAAATGTTGTTGCTCGAGGTGACTTCCAACCAACCTCTCTTTTGTCTCCTTCCTGCATGCACTGCCCCCATGTGTTCGATTCAACTTGAAACAATCCCCTTCTACTTTTTATGAGTCTGCAAAACTTGACTGCAAAACAGTCCTGCGAAGCTCTTCAAGCTACACCCCCCCCCCCCCCCGCCCCACCTTCCCCACCCCGCCCACTCTCTCCCCTGCAGGGTGGGTATTCTTTTCCGTGTTCACTAACCGACCCTCCTGCAGTTTCCCTCCCCACCTAATAATCCCCCCTTCCTGCTTGTTATGACAAAAATTGCACCTTTTACGAGTGTGCAATGCTTGTGTACTCCCTTCTTCTAACTCCTCAAGCTACCAGTTTTGAGTCGACTCAAAAGTCAGCTCCCCGCTTCCTGCTTTTTATGAGTGTGCAATGCCTCTGTGCTCCCTTCTTTTAACTCCTCAAGCTACCACCTCCCCTCCCCTTCCCCACCCCACCCACGCTCTCCCCCTGCGCTTTCCCTTCGTCACTGACAGATCCCGAGCACGGAAATCGACAAGACCCCATCCAAGTTCTTCTCGCATTGGAACCCTGATACCAAGACCTTCACAGTAAGTGAAGCTTTATTGTAACTGAAACCTCTTGAAATTTCTATACGTGCATCCCACCTACCTCCCTTCCAAGTTTCTTCTCGCATTGAAACCCTGATACCAAGACCTTCACAGTAAGTGAAGCTTTAAAGTAAGTGAAACCTCTTGAAAGTTCTATACGTGCATCCCACCTACCTACCTCCCTTCCAAGTTTCTTCTCGCATTGGAACCCTGATACCAAGACCTTCACAGTAAGTAACACGTCGCTCTTGCGGGGTTTTTTCACAATCAGTAGTTTATAGTTTATCACTCTGCATGTGCATGCATCCTAACTTCTCTCCAACGTCGTTCTGTTCTGTGTGCATCCTATGTTCTCCCTTCGTCTCCTATTTTCTCCCTTCGTCTCCTATGTTCTCCCTTCGTCTCCTATGTTCTCCCTTCGTCTCCTGTTTTCTCCTTTCGTCTCCTGTTTTCTCCCTTCGTCTCCTATGTTCTCCCTTCGTCTCCTATGTTCTCCCTTCGTCTCCTATTTTCTCCCTTCGTCTCCTATTTTCTCCCTTCGTCTCCTATTTTCTCCCTTCGTCTCCTATGTTCTCCCTTCGTCTCCTATGTTCTCCCTTCGTCTCCTATGTTCTCCCTTCGTCTCCTATGTTCTCCCTTCGTCTCCTATTTTCTCCCTTCGTCTCCTATGTTCTCCCTTCGTCTCCTATGTTCTCCCTTCGTCTCCTATGTTCTCCCTTCGTCTCCTTTTTTCTCCCTTCGTCTCCTATGTTCTCCCTTCGTCTGTCGGAGTTCTTCCCTTCTCCTTCCTCACTCCTCCCTTGCCCCTGCCTCTTCCCTGCCTTGTGTCCTCACCTTCTTCCCTTCCTTCTTATTCTGGCCTTTCCCCACCTTGTGCTGTCCCCACTCCTGTTCCCCTGTTCCCTTCTGCGTTCCATGAGAAGTTTACTCTCCCACACGATGGCTGCCCACAGTGGCGTAGACACCTAGCTAGCGTAGCCTTGTTGCGGTAACGTTATCCACTATATGAGGCAAACAAGACGAGAGAACAGGTTTGCTATGCTAGGCTAGGCTATTTGTGCTTGGCTGCCCAGTCGCGAGTAACTCAGCGTGCTGGGTTGAGCTCGAGCCGCCTAGGCCTTGGAGTGGCCCTCGCCAGATTGCCTGTCTCCCGAGGTTCCTGAAATTGTCCCCGAAGCGCCCTGTAACCCCCAATGCTACCAACTTCTCGCTACTCTCTATAACCCAACTACCCCACATGCAGATTGAATAACACTCGCTACACCACTTCTACACCCAATTAGCATATGTCTCCAATATGATGCTCTTACCATTATATTTGGTGACAGCTGTCGGAGTTCTTCCCTTCTCCTTCCTCACTCCTCCCTTGCCCCTGCCTCTTCCCTGCCTTGTGTCCTCACCTTCTTCCCTTCCTTCTTATTCTGGCCTTTCCCCACCTTGTGCTGTCCCCACTCCTGTTCCCCTGTTTCCTTCTGCGTTCTCAGCCACTACCTGCCCCCTCCTGTGCTCGTGCTCGAGCTGCTCGGGCGCGAGACACAGGACTCTCAGCTGAGGACGGCTGCTCTTCAGTCCTGCCGTGCGGGTCTGGTGGTCCCCGGTCTGTTCTCCCTTCTTCTTCTCCAACACTAGCACTCCCACGCCTCGCACTGCTTGCGCCCTCCCCTTCACTCTTCCCGATTCCACAGCTAGTGTATCCTTCTTTGCCCCTCTCTTCCCGTCCCACCTCTATAGCCGCCTTTATCCCCTTGCCTTCCTGCTGCTGCCACTTCTCACAGCAGCACGCATCCCTCAACTGCACGGTATGTAGGTCGTCCACCGCCACCGGTATCACCTCCTGCAAGTATTCCGCTGCCTTAGCTCGCTCCCATGCCGCCCGGTTCTCCGCCTCTTCCATTGTATGGTCTACCTTTTCCCCTGTTGCTAGGGGCTCCCATGCCCCCACTTCCTCACTCTCCCGCTCTGCTTCCCCCAGCAGCTCTGGCCTTCCTCCCCGCAGCTTCCTCACATGCCGCTCCGCCAGCTTGTTTCCCTGCGCTTGCATCCAATCCTTCATCGTCACACCAGTCTTCGCCCCTGCCCCGATTTCCCCGAACAACTCTGCTGTCTTCAGCGATGGCTGCCAACCATTCCCTCCCATGTCTGTACTGCTCAGCCCCGTCTTCCCTCCTTTCTTCACCGCTCCCTCCTTCTCGCCCTTCCCTTCCGCTTCTTCTGCTGCTGGTACACACGCCCTTGCCCCCGCCTCTTCGTCCCTCTCCTCTACTTCTACTGCTGCCATTACACCCACTCCTGCCCCCACCTGCTCGTCCTTCTCCTCTGCTTCCGCTGCTACTGGTACGCACGCCCAGGTCCCCTCTCTCTCATTCTTCCCTTCCCCTTCTGTTGCTGCCCATTTCCTCACCTTCTCATCCTTCCCTTCAGTGTCTGCTGCTACTAATTCGCACACTCCTGCCTCCTTCTCCTCGCCCTTCTCTTCCCCTTCTGCCACTGCCCATGCCCTCACCTTCTCGTCCTTCTCTTCCCCTTCTGCTGCTGCCCATGCCCTCACCTTCTCATCCTTACCTTCAGTGTCTGCTGCTACTAATTCACACACTTCCGCCTCCTCTTTCTCGTCCTTCTGTTCCCCTTCTGCCACTGCCCATGCCCTCACCTTCGTGGCTCGCTCCTTTCCTCTGTCCCTGCCCCCACTGCGAAACCCCATGGCGTCACTGCTACACAGCACCGCACAGGAATATTCTGGCGCCTGCTCCCCTTCCTCCTTCTCTTCTTCCTCACTTGCATACAACCCCGCCTGCCTCTCTGTCCTTCCTCTCAGCTCCCGCCCTTTCCTTCCGTCTCTGCCCCCACTGCGCAGCCCCACCCCAGTCCCTCACGGCTACGTAACGCCAGGCATGTGTACTCTGGCTCCTGCCCTTCCTCCTCTTCTGCTCCTTCTTCCCTCGCGTACAGCCCAGCCTCTTTCTTCTTACTCCCTCCCAGGGCCTGCAGCAGCGCCCGCAACTGCCTTATCTGGCTCTCAATCTCCTCTTGAGGCGCCTCAAAAGTCGCCCGCAACTGCCTTATCTGGCTCTCAATCTCCTCTTGAGGCGCCTCAAAAGTCGCCCGCAACTGCCTTATCTGGCTCTCAATCTCCTCTTGAGGCGCCTCAAAAGTCGCCCGCAACTGCCTTATCTGGCTCTCAATCTCCTCTTGAGGCGCCTCAAAAGTCGCCCGCAACTGCCTTATCTGGCTCTCAATCTCTCTTGAGGCGCCTCAAAAGTCGCCCGCAACTGCCTTATCTGGCTCCCCGACGCTTCTCTCCCCTTGCAGGGGACCGCTCCTGGTACTGCCGCACTCTGTCCTCTCGCTGTCGCTCCCTCTCTGCTGCCCTCGAGACTTCTGGTGTCCGCACACCTTCTCTCTTGCCTCGCCAGTCCTCCTCGCGCCTCCACTCCCTTCCTCTTTCCGGTGAGTCCCACCTGTCTCTTTCCTCATAATCTCCACACTCTTCCCAGCCTCGGCGTTCCTGATCCCGTTTCCCCGTTTCCCCTTTTCTTCCTGCCTCTTCACCCCCTTGGTATCGCTCTCCTTCGCCCCTCCTCTCACGGCTCTCTCTCTCTCGGGCCACCTTGCTTCTTCGCTTGTTTCCTTTGCAGCCCTTCTCTCTGCCCACGGGTGTTCTTCTGCTTTCTCACGGCGCGCTCCCGCCTGTTCCCTTGAGGCGCTGGGTGGCGATCGTATGCTACCCCTGCCTCGCGCCTTCTCCGCTGGCCGCCGCCTCCTTGCTGGCGAGTGCTGAACGCGCTTTCCTTCGTAATCCTCGTCCTCCTCCTCTTCTGACCATTCCAGCGATCTCCCTTCTCCCATCGCCATACGCCTCCTGCCCGCACGGCCTTGTCCTGGCTCGGGCGAACGATACACTCCTGCTGGTGCAGCACGCCTCTTCTCCTCCTCCCCTCGCTCCCTTGACCAGGGCTCAGCTGCTTTGCTCCTGCTGCGCCTCGCTTCACTCCCGCGCACCTCCTCTGGTGCGCGTTCTGCCTCTGCGCGATTCCCCTGGCGCCTCGCTTCCTTCCCGCGCACCTCCGCTGGTGCGCGATCTGCATCCGCGCGGTTCCCCTGGCGTTTCGCGCCGCCCCCACCCATTTCGTCGGTCGCGCCATCTGCCTCCGCGCTCCCGCGTCGCCTTGCGCCACTCCCACACACTTTGTCTGTCGAGCGATTTAATCCCGTCGCCTCTCCGCGTTCTTCACTTTTTTCTCCACGACGCCTCTCGCCTGCCTTGCGCATGTCGCCCGGCGAGTGATCTTCTTCCTCGTCCATGGGATCATCCTCCGCCAACTCCTCGCCGTCGGCCTCCTTTGCCAACATCAGCGAGTCCGTCTGATCGGCATCCTCCTGACGCCTTACTCCCGCGCCCCGCTGGCCCCTTGCCAGATCCCAGGGATTGCTCTTCGACGGCTGGGGTCCTGGCGCCCATCTCATCTGCAGACCGAGCTCGCCTTCACCGTGCAGTCCGTCACTCACTGGTCGCCATCCAATCCGCCCGATCCGCCTCTCTGCTAGGCGAGCGACCTGGCGATCTTCACTGCTCCTTTGAGCGCATCCTTCGCGACGGCGGTATCTCCCGCCGCGAGTACGTCCGCTGCCACCGCAGCTCATGGCAGTCCATACTGACTATCTGCTTCTCTCGTCTTGTGAGAAGTTTACTCTCCCACACGATGGCTGCCCACAGTGGCGTAGTCACCTAGCTAGCGTAGCCTTGTTGCGGTAACGTTATCCACTATATGAGGCAAACAAGACGAGAGAACAGGTTTGCTATGCTAGGCTAGGCTATTTGTGCTTGGCTGCCCAGTCGCGAGTAACTCAGCGTGCTGGGTTGAGCTCGAGCCGCCTAGGCCTCGGAGTGGCCCTCGCCAGATTGCCTGTCTCCCGAGGTTCCTGAAATTGTCCCCGAAGCGCCCTGTAACCCCCAATGCTACCAACTTCTCGCTACTCTCTATAACCCAACTACCCCACATGCAGATTGAATAACACTCGCTACACCACTTCTACACCCAATTAGCATATGTCTCCAATATGATGCTCTTACCATTATATTTGGTGACACGTCTCCTATGTTCTCCCTTCGTCTCCTATTTTCTCCCTTCGTCTCCTATTTTCTCCCTTCGTCTCCTATGTTCTCCCTTCGTCTCCTATTTTCTCCCTTCGTCTCCTATTTTCTCCCTTCGTCTCCTATGTTCTCCCTTCGTCTCCTATTTTCTCCCTTCGTCTCCTATTTTCTCCCTTCGTCTCCTATGTTCTCCCTTCGTCTCCTATGTTCTCCCTTCGTCTCCTATTTTCTCCCTTCGTCTCCTATGTTCTCCCTTCGTCTCCTATTTCTCCCTTCGTCTCCTATTTTCTCCCTTCGTCTCCTATGTTCTCCCTTCGTCTCCTATTTTCTCCCTTCGTCTCCTATGTTCTCCCTTCGTCTCCTATTTTCTCCCTTCGTCTCCTATGTTCTCCCTTCGTCTCCTATTTTCTCCCTTCGTCTCCTATGTTCTCCCTTCGTCTCCTATTTTCTCCCTTCGTCTCCTATGTTCTCCCTTCGTCTCCTATTTTCTCCCTTCGTCTCCTATTTTCTCCCTTCGTCTCCTATGTTCTCCCTTCGTCTCCTATTTCTCCCTTCGTCTCCTATTTTCTCCCTTCGTCTCCTATGTTCTCCCTTCGTCTCCTATTTCTCCCTTCGTCTCCTATTTTCTCCCTTCGTCTCCTATGTTCTCCCTTCGTCTCCTATTTTCTCCCTTCGTCTCCTATTTTCTCCCTTTGTCTCCTATTTTCTCCCTTCGTCTCCTATGTTCTCCCTTCGTCTCCTATTTTCTCCCTTCGTCTCCTATGTTCTCCCTTCGTCTCCTATTTTCTCCCTTCTCCTATCTTTCTCCGATCTTCTCCCCCCCATGCAGCTCCAGCTATACTTCAAGCCCCGCCCAGTGACCCCCACCTACTCATGCAGCCCCCACCTACTCATGCATTGTGCTGGGTTCCCTTTCCCCCCACATCCCCCCCTTTCCCAGCCCCGCTCAGTGGCCCCCACCTACTCATGCATTGTGGTTCTCATCCACCTCAACCAGTGGTTCTCATCCACCTCAACCAGTGGTTCTCATCCACCTCAACCAGTGGTTCTCATCCACCTCAACCAGTGGTTCTCATCCACCTCAACCAGTGGTTCTCATCCACCTCAACCAGTGGTTCTCATCCACCTCAACCAGTGGTTCTCATCCACCTCAACCAGTGGTTCTCATCCACCTCAACCAGCGGTTCTCATCCACCTCAACCAGTGGTTCTCATCCACCTCAACCAGTGGTTCTCATCCACCTCAACCAGTGGTTCTCATCCACCTCAACCAGTGGTTCTCATCCACCTCAACCAGTGGTTCTCATCCACCTCAACCAGTGGTTCTCATCCACCTCAACCAGTGGTTCTCATCCACCTCAACCAGTGGTTCTCATCCACCTCAACCAGTGGTTCTCATCCACCTCAACCAGTGGTTCTCATCCACCTCAACCAGTGGTTCTCATCCACCTCAACCAGTGGTTCTCATCCACCTCAACCAGTGGTTCTCATCCACCTCAACCAGTGGTTCTCATCCACCTCAACCAGTGGTTCTCATCCACCTCAACCAGTGGTTCTCATCCACCTCAACCAGTGGTTCTCATCCACCTCAACCAGTGGTTCTCATCCACCTCAACCAGTGGTTCTCATCCACCTCAACCAGTGGTTCTCATCCACCTCAACCAGTGGTTCTCATCCACCTCAACCAGTGGTTCTCATCCACCTCAACCAGTGGTTCTCATCCACCTCAACCAGTGGTTCTCATCCACCTCAACCAGTGGTTCTCATCCACCTCAACCAGTGGTTCTCATCCACCTCAACCAGTGGTTCTCATCCACCTCAACCAGTGGTTCTCATCCACCTCAACCAGTGGTTCTCATCCACCTCAACCAGTGGTTCTCATCCACCTCAACCAGTGGTTCTCATCCACCTCAACCAGTGGTTCTCATCCACCTCAACCAGTGGTTCTCATCCACCTCAACCAGTGGTTCTCATCCACCTCAACCAGTGGTTCTCATCCACCTCAACCAGTGGTTCTCATCCACCTCAACCAGTGGTTCTCAGCTGTCTTGTATCGACTGGGCTGCCCTCACTGCCTCACCTCAACTTCTTCTTGCCCTGTTTCACTCACCCTACTTTTCCCCCCATGCAGCTTCAGCTATACTTCAAGCCCCGCCCAGTCGCCCCCACCAACCCCAACGCCCATCTCCTCCCCTCCTCCATGCCTCCCCATCCCCATCCCCACCCACCTCCCCCTCCTCTCTCCTCCCGCCCCCCTCCTCCTACCGGCCCCTCCCCCCGCCCCCCTCCCCCGTCCTACCCTTCCTCCATGCCCCCTCCCCCTCCTCCCCCTTCCTCCATGCCCCCGCCTCCCCCACCAAGCGGATACGCTCCCCCTCCTCCCCCAAGCGGATATGCACCCCCTCCCCCTCCCCCTCCCCCTCAAGGGGGGCAGTATGGGGGGGGAGGCGGGTACATGCCCCCCCCTCCCCCGCCACAGCAGCAAGGGGGGGGAGGGGCGGGGGGAATGGGGGCGTATGGGGGTGCGTATGGGGGGTATCCCCCTAGCAACCAGCCACAGGCACATGTGGGGGGAGCGGGGGGAGCAGGGGGAGGGGGAGGGGGAGCAGGGGGAGCGCCAGTGTCCAGACCCCCACCCCCACCCCCCCAGCAGCAGCAAGGGGGAATGTATTCTGCTGTCCCCCCGCCTCCCCCTGCTGCACCTGGGGGGTACCAGCCCCCTCCCCCACCACAGACCTAGAAGTGTTTAGAGGGAGAGTGAAAATGGGAGTGGAGGGGGGTTTGGAGTGGGATTGGGAGTGGGAAGGAGTGGAACTTTGGGGAACAGGAAGGCATGTAGGGCTTGTGTTGATGGAGTGGAACTTTGTAGTGCCTCCATTGCTGACAAATTATTAATGTTCTTGAATAATTCTGTTGACATGTCTCTATTACCACCTACATCAGGATAACAGATCGTTGAAGTTCATTCATCATCTGTGCCTACCTATCATAGATTCAAAGATTTTCCGCTTATATCGAGCCCATCGTAGCGCGTCCTCGAGCATTGTTTGCGCCAGCACGATCGCTTGGATTACGCCACCAGGCCAGAGATCTCCACAACCACCCCTGTGGTCAGGGAACCAGCACTTCACAGGCTCGCATTGGTTGGGCAGGGTGATCAGAAGCCACTTCGTGTGGCTGTTGCCAAGCTAGTAACCAGACTCAGCAGAACTAAAAGAGAGATTATACGTGCAGTCACAATTATGGCCGTATTATCACGTCTCGATCCGGAGTCATCACAGACAGTCACATTACAGTACTCCGCTATCACGCGTGATCACAGCGCTATCACGCGTGGTCACACCTCGCCCCGCAGGGTTATCACGTTCGGTCACTTGTTGAAACGCCCGCCAAAAAGTCGACACTCCAAATTATACTGTAAAGATTCGGGTACATTATCTTGCGCGAGTTTTGTCTGTAGGAAAAAACTTGATGTGACAGACGAAATATACTCGGACCTTGTAAGGGACCGATGCAGTTTAATCCATAGTTTGCATTTTGCAGTGAATAAACGCCAGCAATAAACTGTACTAAATTGTTGAGAAAGTACAATCTAAAACTATCAATTCTAAGAAACATCATATCTTATCAATCTATTGTGCTCTTGACACTGAAATTATGTTTAGCTTGTTAACAATGTAGTGAATAGAGTGAAAATCAATAATAAAACTATTCTAAAAAATAGACATAGTGTATATCGAACTGGCACAACACAATGTGTCGAACAGTATCAAACTACATGTTACCCTTATCAATTGTTTAAATCGCTATATGCTTATATTACAAAATGCAATTACACTAAAGATGTCAATCATAAATATTTTTGATAAATTTTAAACAGTTCAATTACACATATAAACCAACGCAATCATATGTCGTATATGTATTTACTCACCTGTAACGTTCAACGGTTTTCCATCAAAACTGATGAAATTGTATTGGTTTCTCACCAGCGTAAGCTATTATCACTGTGCTAAACATAATTATATAGTTCTCACTGTTTAAATCATTCGACCTAAACCCATGTCTTTGGTGTATGGATGATATGCACACCTTAAACTAATTATAAAATCGCGACTGTTATTGATGGCGTCTATTCACTGCAAATTTTAAACTCTGGATTTAACTGCATCGGTCCCTTACAAGGTCCGAGTATATTTCGGCCGTCACATTACGTTTTTCGCTACAGACAAAACGCGCACAAGATAATGTACCCGAATCTCTACAGTAGATTTGGGAGTATCGCCTTTTTGGCGGGCGTTTCAACAAGTGACCAAACGTGATAACCCAACGGCGCAAGTTGTGACCACGCGAGATAGCACTGTGATCACGCGTGATAGCGAAGTACTGTACTGTGTCTGTCCATGATGACCCCAGGATCAGACGTGATAATACGGCCATAATTGTGACTCCGCGTATAATTTCCCGAACTGAAACCGCCCAGAAATAAAAAAAAACATGTGGCCAGATGGGCAACTGGCTTTATCTGCCAGCTGCCCGTTGTTCCGCATCCCGCCAATTGAGACGGACTGTGGCCCATGGCGTGATGTGAGCGAGTGGCGAGGCGATTTGCGTTGCACGCAGCACGATCCGTTGGATTCTCGTCGTACGGTTTGCGATGGTTTCGCCGTTCAAAAGTGGATAGCACTGAGCATTTAGCTGATGTCAGACAGTACGCAAATTCGGGAGGATCTGGTCTGGGTTTGTCGTGATGGTGTGGCGGCTTCTGGGGATGCATTCCGCTCGTTTCCAGCAAGCCTCATTCCACACCTCGGGTGTCAGATCCGAACTTGGCATGTGGGAGGAAGTGGATCTAGCGTGATTGTCGAGTTGACAGAACCGAATTCTCGGATTTGGTCGTCAAAAGCTGTTGCGAGAAGCGAAAAAATGCACACGGCCGCAATTCATGCACGAACGGAAGCGAATTTGTAACGATTCCCCGCATCTCGCGGGGTTTCGAATTCCTCCACCTCGCATCTCAAAAGAGGACCAAGCTGTTCAAGCAAAATGATGAATCGAACATAAACAATCTACGGTTTTGCATACTGTTACAAGTGCAATTGAGTAAATGAACGGGAATTGCACTATCGAAGCAAGAATCCAATGAGCGAAGGCATGAGCGAAGAATATATAGCGAAACTACAGTGGTAACGGTAATGGACTGTGGTTGTCGCGTGACGGGCCTGGGACTGAGGTTTGGGAAAGTGTCGAAGCGGAGGCCCGGAGCGCGGGTTACCAGCCGAGCCGTGAGGTTGGGGTGCGATGTACGAAAATGGCGGGCTGATTCTCGATGCGAGGGTCGCGAGTGGTAACGGTGCTGACTGTGGTGCTATAGTGATGTACGCGTTGAGCAGGGATGCGAAGTAAGGAAAAACGATTTTCCTTACACTACCCCCCCTCCTAAGGAGGTCCTCCCTACGAAAGTGCGTGGACGTCCCTGAAGTTTCGGCTGCGCAGATATTCGGTGAGAACAGGGTGGTTTTCGATTATGTCCAGGGGAACCCAATTGTCTTCGGTGGGTGTACGGTCTTTCCAGCGGATCAGGAACTCGATCTTTCAGGCTCCTCGAGGGTCACGAACTCTGTGGCTCAGGATTTTGTCGGGGGCGATGATTGGTTCGGTTGGCGGTCGTGCCATGCTGGCTGGGCGATTGCGTGGGAGTTGGCTTGTGGATGGGACGTAGGGGCGAAGCAGGCTGACGTGGAACGAGGGGCTGACGTACCAGTCAGCAGGGAGGAGGAGGTGGGCGGTGACGGGTGTTATCATGTGACTAATACGAAATGGCCCACAGTATCGGCGGCGGAGTTTGGGTGTGATGGGCAGTCGGAGGTTCTAAGTGTCGAGTAAAACTAGGTCGTCGGGTTGGTAAGTGGCAGGTCTACGGTGGCGGTCGGCGTTGCGTTTAGCGATGATGTTCGATTTTTTTACTACGTCTGCTGCCCTGGTCCGTCTGTTTCGGGGTGATACGATGAACTAAACTGTAGTCGCGTGCCGAACTGCTGCCACAGGTTCCGCCAGAAGTTGCTAGTAAACTTCGTGTCTCTGTCGCTGATGATTGATGCTGGTATCCCGTGCAGTCCAACGACGGTAGAGATGAAGAGGCGGGCTGTTTCTTCGGCTGTGATTGATTTCTAGCAGGCTGCGAAGTGTGCCATTTTCGTCAGTCGATCAACAACGACCAGGATCGCGTCATTCCCACTCGCTCCGGCCGGTAACCCCGTGACGAAGTCCATCGTCACCTGCTGCCAAGCACGCTCTGGGGGTGGGATTGGTTGCAACTGTCCCGCCGGCCGCTTCCGGGTTGACTTCATGATCTGGCAAGTGGTACACGATGCCACGTGTCGTTGTACGTCGGTCAACATTTCGGGCCAATAATAATACCGCTGCAGCTGCTGCCGTGTTTTCTCTACTCCGAAATGTCCCGAGGTAACTCCGTTGTGAGAATAAGCGAACAGGAATGAATGAACTAGCAGTGAAAATGAGTACAAGTAGGAAACCCTAGAATTGTGTACCCCCTATAGGCTAACCCACTGTAGCCTACACAAGCATAACATATATAATGTTTGACACACCCCCATAGGCAAAGTGGGGGAGAACAAGGGGTCACAAGACCAGTCAAGCAAAGCAAAGCAAGCTCAGGGTGGATCACAAAGTCACCACACAGTCCGAGCACAAGAGCAGGGCCAGAGGCCAGTTCACATGCAGGAGTACAGACATATATATAAAACTAGACAAGCAAGAGCAGGTATATATATATGTCACAGTACAAGTGAAGTCAAGAGGAGAGCAAGTGAGGCAAGACAGGCACAAGACCCAGCTGGGTGCAAAAGCGCTGATGGTCACAAGGCGCGAGTGCCTTGGTGAACACATCAGCAGTGTTGGCCTCAGAGGCCACGTACGCAAGTCGCAACTGACCACGCTGCTGCAGCTCACGAGCAAGGAAGTAGCGGAAAGCAATGTGCTTCGTTCTGTGCTCCAAGCGCTGCTCTCGACACAAGGCCAGCATGGCCTTGTTGTCTACGTACAGCACTGGAGGAGAACGAGGCGGCTCTCCAAGGTCAGTCAGCAGGTAGGTGAGCCAGCGAAGCTCCTGTGCAGCCATGGCCCCGGCGTAGATCTCAGCCTCACAACTGGGGCCGAGAACCGAAGACGAGCGAGTAGACCGCCACGAGACAGAGCCGGAACCAAGGCTGAAGGTGTAACCCTGTGACGACCGCTGCGTAGCCTGGTCGTCAGCCCAAGAAGCGTCCGCGTGGCCGGTAAGGACCACTGGACTCCGCCCTCCAAGCACTAGCCCCATGCCCGACGTACTGCACAGGTAGCGCAATACCCTCTTCGCTGCAGCCATGTGCTCTAGTCTGTGTCTCCCAGGAGCAACATAGCGTGCAAGAATGCTCAGAGGGTATGCAAGGTCAGGTCGTGTGCAGGTCATCAGGTACATGAGGCAGCCAACAAGCTCTGCATACGGACCACTCGACTCTACGGACTCATCCGAAGGCAGAGCTGAGAGTGAGTGGCGAGTAGGCAGAGGAGTGGCCTGAGGCGAGGAGTACGTGAAGCCGAAGCGCTGAAGGACCTGCTGCACCATGTGCGACTGAGTCAAGGTAATGGTGCGGCGTGCTCTGTCCCGAGTGATCTGCAAGCCAAGGTAGCTGCGCAGTTCACCCAGGTCTGTGCACGTGTGTCTCTTCAGCAGCTCGG